GTTAAAAATAAATGTGCTGTGAGGGCTGCCAGTGTGTGCACCAGCAAATGTCAACACAGGATCACAAAACACATGCCACGCATGTGCACCACAATCTCAGGCAAAACCTCATTCTCCAACATACACTGTCTTCTCTTCTCTAGACAGTGTTTACTGTGAGTCTTCTAGACAGGCCCGGGCTGGACATGGTGTTTGCCTACATGTTAAGACCCTATTTCACTGATTTCTTTTATGACAGTTAACTGACTGTACTAAGCACCACGGAGGGCACATCTGTGCCAGACACTACCACACACTTTGGCAGTTTCACACAAGACAGGAGGTGGAGCACCACAGGGGCACCCACATGCCTCTGGTGGGGTGGGGGCTCCCAGTGGGAGACTCTTAACTTCAAAAAAGTCCCAAAGGGTGAACTACTCATAGGTAATTTCATAAAAATAGGGAAAATAAACAGGAAGGCCCTTGCTCATGAAGGGATCAACAGAGTTCATGCTCCCTTATAATCATGTGACAGTTCATACCCTTCCTCATCAGGATGGAAGTTAGTTACCTTGTGCAAGTTCGGCTGCAGGTCCCACCCCACTGGACTCAAGAAGAGCCTGGCCTGAGCCTGCTCTGCCGAGTTACTCTCCACACCAGGCAGCATACGTTCCAGAGGCCTGAGTCCTGCAGGTCTGCCTAGAGGCAGAGGCATTCCGCAGCCAAACCAAGTCAACGGGCAGCAAGCAGCTCAGGACACCCAGACTTTTGAAAACATGGGCCTGCTCATTTGGGAGAAGTTCTACATGTATAATACATACTAAGTACTGTGTAATCTCTGAAAACCTGTCATGTCCGTAGACTGCTTTATTGCATAGAATCCAAAATGTGGGCTAACGAGAAACCAGTTTGAGTTCTGCACGTTCCAGTTACAGGGTTTCAAACAGGAGATCTCAGGGAGGAAGCATGCTTTTAGCTGCTCTGGGCCTCAGGCATGTCAAGGTTAGGCTCTGAGAGCACAGCAGGTAGCATCTTCCTTTAGGAGAGCCATGAAAAAGACCTGTTCATGAGCCACAGGAGGAAGCTCTAGGTCCCTTTCCCACTAGTCTCCACCTGGAAGGAGACTTTCAGGGCTGGTTCTCTCATCCCTCACTTCCACTGTTCCTATCCCTGGCACAAAATCTTACATTTCATCTAACAGCCAAGGCTGTTGTCACATTTCACACACGTGGAGTAGAAAGAGAAAGCAATCATGAGGACAGGGAGGAGACAAACTGGCGCCTCTGCCTACAACTGGCAGCACCTCCTCTATCCCGAGGACTCAGAATGACCATGAGGGCTATTCTAGAGTGTGCCCGAACTCTGAGGAAGACCACACTTGCACACATCAAACCACCGTCATTTCTGGGCCAACTCCTTTACCTGACCCGATTGCACACGCTCCGATGACGGAGCACTGCAAAGGCAGGTGCTTTGCATGGCCTCCGAGCTATTAACCATCATCCATCTGTAGATACAGAAGCTTTACTCTTCAGGAGTGTCTGGCTTAAATGAAGAAAGAGATGAGGACTTTCACTGGGTTAGAATGACACCATAGTCTTCAGTCTGACACTCCCTGGATCACATGCAGAGGACACACATGTAAAATACTACTGGAAGCCTTAAGAGAGGCGGCTGTGGCAGTGCCACAGACACACACCGCCCCCCAGATAGAAACCGAAACCTACACATACATAAGCATGTGTGTGCATGCACACTGTGCCACAGAGAAGTAAGATGTTCGTCAGCAGTTCTGCCTTGAAGCAAAATTCTTAATCAGGTTATAAATTGCTCTATTAGCATGCACAAAGTCACTTCATGTTGAACTCTAAGTAACAGTATAATTCATGTGCTCAGATCTTTTAATTTCCTTCTTCAGAGGGAAAACGAGCACACAAGTAAGGCTTGTGTCTCTAGGGCTGTGGTGCATTCCTGGTTTTGTGTGTTTGTTTTTTTAAGTAAAAATATGTAGCATACCATAAGGGAAAAAATACAAGCCTGTGCTCATGACAAGCTTAGGAAATGAGGATGTCTTTTGAGCAGCAACACCACCGGCCTGGGGAAGACCCTCTGATGGCTGACCCCCACCAAACACTCATTAAACACTGTAGGACTGGTGACCCAGGACAAATGAATCCTAGCTAGTAGTGTGCAGGGCTACTTGGTACTAGACGAGAACTCTGTGGTGTAAGCAGTGCGACACACCTACACCCACACACACTCGAGAGGGGAGGCTCAATAACTTGACCTTCTGACACGACTTCCTGTGCCCAGCACTTACTCACGTCATTTAATCCTCCCAACAACTTTTGAAGTTGGTGCTAACAATCACATTTTAGAGGTATGGAAACTTGAGGCTCAAGGTTTACGCCATCTAAACGCTAACCCATGTACAGAATCTGAATGGGTCTCCTCTTCTACCTCTATCCCTGGAAACGCCCTGACCTCTGTGCAGAACTGTCTCAGCAGAGTTTCACTGTCACGATGCAACACAACCAACGAGGCTGAAGAAAGTCTGCCCATCACCCCCGTCAACAGCACTGGACCCAGGCCTGTGACCCGGCAGGCACTGCAGTCTCTCCTACAACTCTTCTCCGGGTTTCTCTGGCCACATTTCTCACTTATAAACAAAGCACCTGTGTCTGCACCACAGTGAAATTCGGACAGTTAAATGTGACCTTTTATAGTCCCCGGGACCACAAGGAACCCTCCCCGCTTAGCTGAAAAGCAGTAAATACAACAGGAAAAATCCCTGCATCAAGTAAAGGAAGCATCAAGGCAATCACTGGGGTCTGACACCCTGAGCAACTAAAGACACACAAGCACACAAACAAACCAAGAGACCCTGAGGTTTTCACTTAGCCTTGGACACATTTTGGAATGTGGATCGGTAAGCAACAGCCTGCTGCTGAAGCAGCAGGTGGATGATGCAAGGAGGTTTCATTCGGAGAGACTACCTCTCAGCCTGCACGGTACAGCACAGAGGCCACAGCAGATGTCTTGTCATGCCCACACACACTTCTGTCCTCAGCCTGCCACCACCACCACCAGGGGAGTAAGGACACATGCCCGCTGATCAAGTCCATAGGTGCGCATTCCCATGTGTGCTCAGCTGTTGTCACGAATGTGACCTTCATGTCCTTGCACATCAGTTAATGGTAGTTTGGCTTGTTTTCTTCATTACCCCATTATTCCTAGGTCATGGCAGCTCAGTTAGCAGCTGCTGGCTTTTTAAGAATCCCTGCATCTACCACCGTGTGGATAGTGAACAAGTGATCAACAAGCAAGTGGATTGGAGTGGCTTTCTGCATGGGCAATATGAAGTCACTGTTGGACTTCTTTGCTAGGCACAGCCCCCACGGCTCATGCCTGTCATCTTAGCATTGTGAGGCTGAGGAGGGGAACCACTAGGTGTTCAAGGACTGCACGGGCTGTGTGGTGACCCCCAGGTAACATGGGCCCCACCATGAACCCTGTCCCCAAACAAACTTGAGCTACTCCAGAATTTTAAATAAGTCACCAACCAGAGCGAAAGGACCATGGGTAAACACACATCACAGCAGCAAAGCAAGAACAAGCAATGTTAGTAACACACATTATAATTTCCAAAGAAGCAGAAAAGCCAAGCAAAAGTAAAAACATGAAGTAACTCTGTAGCAGCCCGGAAAACCATGAGTTCCTTCCCATGGGGGAAGCTCTGCATTCAAGCAGAACAGGCCCGTCAGGCAACAGGTGTGTGAAATCTACATCCAAACACCGGTAATTGGGTGAAAGAACTCAGTGTTTTGTCACAAGCCTTCTGTTTCTTTGTCCTCTGTAAAAGCACTGTGAGCCAGTCAGCCCCAGAGAGAGCAGTGCCACCTCAGCAGGGACACACCCTGGAGAGCCACCAGCCGGACCTGTGGGTGTCTCGAGGATGTAGCTACAAATCTGGAAAACCCTCAGAGTAGATTCAGACAATGCTCGTGCGACATTTACCACTTCCTGAGTGTTAATCTCTAGTTATGGTAATTAGGTTGGAAGAGTTTTGAACTCTACCCTGGAAACAAATGTGAAAATACGACAAATTATGATCCTTTCTTGCCTTTCTAAGATAGGGGCTCATTGTGTAGTCTTGACTGTCCTGGAACTTGACATAGACCAGGCTGGCCTTGAACTCACAAGAGATCTGCCTGCCTCTGCTTGAGTCCTGGGATTAAAGCCGTGAACCACCACACTCTTCAATGACTCATTTTACATAAAACAAGTCAGATCCCTCCTTTTAGTTGATGTGCAACAGTTTACAACAGAGTTTTAACAGCAGTTTAACAGGGCTGACCAGTGATCCTCTACAGCCAGCTCTGCACTGTTCCCTGAAGTTGTAACCAGCCTGTTAGAGCTTGGCTGCCAAGAAAATCCTGCTCAGGTCAGGTTTGAGTTTTTAATGTGCCTCCTGGTCTGTCAAACTAATCAGAATAACCGGGATTGCTTAAGGGATTCATTTAGTGTAGCACATTATACCACACGACTATGTTGGAACTGCTTTTCCTACTCCACGAATGGAGTGAGGAAGGTGTGCTCTACCTGCATACAAATACTCGCCATGAAGACTGCTCTGGTGTCCTGCTCTCCAGAACCGTCACTATCACAGAGGTCAGGAGACCCTGGGTGGAGCGAACTTGTTTAGAGCTGATGCCGACTAGACCCCACTACAAACCTTCCTTTAACATGATTTCTGTACCGTCCAGAGTCAGAAGACGCCACAGTCCCCAAAGCAAACCATTCACCTCTCCTCAGGTTCCTCAGCACAGCACGGCTCTGTTCTGTTTGCTAATGCGGCACACACAGGCCAGCTGCAAGTGGTTCTAAGTCCTCCCTGCAAATAAAACCCTCTGTGCAATTCTTATTTTTCATTTAAACACTACCGCCTCTGGTAAGACGTGGGACCTGTCAGCTGTCATGTTGCCAAGACTCCACTTGTCAGCAAGGTCGGCAGCCAATACCTTCCAGTTAGGTCCCAGGGGGCCTCTCTTGGTCTTGACTGACTGGAATAATGCAGGGTCTTCATCAGCTTTGTAGTCCTGTAAAGCAGAACAGAGTCGGAGATGAAGAAGAAAACCAGAAGCCATCCTTGAACCTTGCCAGACGGCTTTCTGCAGCGAGACCCTGTGCTTTGACACACAGGGGTGCCGTCCCCACACAGCACCTGCAGCTCGCATCCCATTTCTTTTTACACTTTTATCTCAACTATGTAATTAGGAGTGTTGAGTGATAGCAGCCCACCAAGACTAGCTGCTGGGCTGTTAAGTGTCTCATGGTTTTAGCCGACAACCATGCAGACACGCTGAAGAACTAAAGCATGCCCACCTCACTGTCTACAACGCCTGCCCGTGGTGACACTGGGCTGCTGCTGCTACCGTGAGCCACTACTGCACTGGAAACAGACCAGATGCCCTGCTCCTGGGCTTCCCTCCTCCCTTCCCAGCTGGATCTGTGTCCTCTAAGTCCCTCACTGTCATGAGAAGCAGGGACGGGTGACGGAGGATCTTCAGTGAGAGCAAGTCACAGATGACCCCAAAATCTACGATTCATGAACGTAAGCTGTTTCCCTCAGTGCATCCTGCCTGACAGACTGTACTTATCCAAAGTGCCTGTCCCTCTCCCCTCCTCCCTCCATCTCCCTCCATCCTCTCTCAACAGAAGTGAAGTTATTTTTGGAGTATGCAGAAATGACGGGAACTTCACTAGCTGTCACAATATAGGCCCAGGGTCAGTCTAAAGCCTGGAGACCGCGCTCCTTCCAGGCCAGCTTCTGGGGCCCCAAGGTGCCTCACAGCATTGGTGAAGGGCACAAACACTGCAGCAAGCACCCAGACAAGGCCCAGGGGAAACCCTGGCTAGAAACCGCAGTCTCTGAGTTAAGAGCCATTCAAACAGAGCATGCACAGAGCACACTCCAAAGTACAATACAAACTTTCCCAAAGCAAAGAAAGCACACTGGCAAGTGGCCATTGAGAAGTGACCAGTTAGCAAATGCATACATCATGCTAATAAGTCCTAGTCAGGGTTATAAATAAACCATGTGAAAAAGAAAAAGAGTGAGGATCAGGAAAGAAACTAAACTTTTAAGACGCATGCTTGGGTAAACATGACTGTGGACAGGAAGGCCATTTCAACACGGTCTCAGAAACTAGAGAAAGGGCTGAAATTACTAAACACGTGAACCTGTCTCAAAGATTTGAAATAGTTAACGTGGTATGGCCAGGACATGAGGCCAGTAGGCATTACTCAGGAAGGACGCACAGGGATGAGCTGCCCTGGGGGGACAGGACACCAGAACCAGAGTCACTTCATCTGTCTGGGCACAACAGCACTGACTTCAATCTCTGCCAGCCAGGATGAATCTGTAAATTCCATCCCACACCTGCATCATAAAAACGGGCATGCTTTCTCAGACCCAGGAAAGAAGCAACTGAACAGGTGATCCCAAAACTTGCATTCACAGAAGTAAGCTACCTAAACAACTCATATCTATATGTCTCCAGACCATTCTCTTCTCGAACAGAGGCTCAAAATTAAAGCCCACCTTTGCCCCAAATTAAAAAGCAACATTATATCAAACAACAACGTCCAGCACCATTCCCTCCATCAAAGGCCCCATGGAACAGCTACCACAGGATGACAAGGGCCAGAACATAGGGCTGGTTCCTAGCATCAGTCTAGTTGAAAGAGGCAGACAAGACAAGACAAGACAAGACAAAACAAAACAGGTACCCAAACCCCAAGAAGTATGTATTAACTACCAAAAGAGAAGAGAGAACATTCAGTCAGAATCAAAACCAAACAAAACCAGTTGAGAACACACCCCTTCCAAAAGACAAGTGGCCTTCATATTTAAAAGTAGAAAAAAACCAGGTAGTGGTGGAGCACACTTTTAATCCCAGCACTCGGGAGGCAGAGGCAGGAGGATCTCTGCAAGTTCGAGGCCAGCCTGGTTCCAGGACAGCCAAAGCTACAGAGAAACCCTGTCTCACAAAACAAAAACAAAAGTAGAAAGGCAGGCATACCATGTTTATAATATTTCAACAATTAAATTCTAATCATCAGTCTAATCCCCAAAAGGCTGGCCATGATTTGTCAGCCTATTCTCTGAGAGAGAACCCACCCCCCTTTTCTCTTATGGACTGGGGTGTGATGTGGCTATGGCCACACCAGCCACGTCTTTCTTTTCTTTTTACAAAACCTGAACTGTAAGGGAACTGAATAGTAAACACCACATTTCTGCACGTGGTAATAGGTTGTACCATTGTTTTATGTGACATTAACAATAAAGGTGCAGAAGGCTAATATGGATCAGAGCAGGGAGACAGACCTCGATTCTGGACGTAGTCAACTGTGAAAGCGAAGCGGGGAGCAGGATTTCAGGACTGAGTATGGAGAACTGTGGGGTGCTGTGAACGTTAAGCCTGCCCACACCCATGGGAAAAGTAAGTACACACACAATAAAGTGTACACAATCACCTCCAGGGTTGAAGGAATAAAACCAACGGCATTAAATACAGACAGTCCATACACCAGGGCCACGAAACTCACCAAGAAGCGAGAACTCGGTTTAAACTCTGACCACATCGATCATTTCCAGGTCTGCCACAAGAGACCAGCAAAGGTGTCAGCTAGAGAAGGGTCAGAATAGAGAGATAACCCGCTCTCTTCTAGCCCAGCTCCATGCCAGGCAGACACTTCACACTTCTACAGAACCCTTTTGCAGTAGATGCAGAAACGAGAGACTGAAAACCTTGTGAAAGTGCCACTCTAGATCTGACACTAATTCTGAAGGCACACCTGCGAGCCTTCATCATCAACGTGAGGGAGCCATGGCTGCTTTTCTAAAACGCATCATCAAGTTTACCGTCCATTGAGGAACTGAGGAACTGACATGGCTCCCTACACCTGGACTTCAACTACTCTTTAAAAGATTTGTTCATTTTATGTGTATGGGTGTTTTGCCTGTACATATATCTGTGTACCCCACATGCAAACATTGCCCTCAGAGGCTAGAAGGTGGCACTGGATCCCCTGAAACTGGAATTACAGAAGGCTGTGAACCACTATGTGGGTGATGGGAATTGAACCCTGGTCTTCTGGAAGAGCAGCCAGTGCTAATCTACTGAGCCATCTCTCCAGCCCCTACGGAACTCTTTGATCTCTGTCTGTCCTGACTCACATGACTGTATCACACAGGGCAGCTATAGGTGTCAGCAATCCCAGGAAGTAAACATTTAAAACACCAAGAAGCCAGTCCAAGTGGGTCTTCCTGAGGTGGAGACACAGAACGAAACCTTCCCCTCTTTGTTTTCTTCTCTGGAGTGCACAGCAGCAAACATTAAAGGCATTACACTGAAAACGTAATATAATCCAATTATCAACACTAGCATCTTAACTCTGACAGGTGAGGATAACGCACCTTGTCAAACCTAGACATTCTGCGTTAGCTAGCTTGAATCCGTAAATGTTTAATCAGTTGAATTAAGTAGCATAATATGAAAAGCCAGGAAGCGGATGTAGTTTTCACAACCTCAATTTTGTATTTTTACAATAAACATTAATTTCTTTTTTGAATAGCATCTTCTTGCTGAGTTTTATTGTTGGGTATCTGATTTGGTCTCTGGATACGAAAACTGGTCGATTTATATCCACATCACAATGAACAAATATATTCCTTCATGTATGACAGTTTCAGCATACAGAATGCAGCCTCAGCTACCAATTACAGCTGCAAATGAGCAGTAGTGTGGAATGAGACAGCCTGCTGGCTCTGTTAGTATTCTGTCTCCTCTGGGATCCCAGGGGGAAAGAGTGGCTCTGATGAAGAGAAGCCCCTGGCTCATGGTTTATTGTGCTCGCCACCAGCTGCAGACTTCTCATCTCATTAGTTCCTTTAGAATACTGTGGGTGAAGACAGCTGCAGTCTGCTTGAGTCTTCAGCTCCTGGGTATTCTGAAGGCTGAATCTGCTATGCACTTTCTGTAATCCTTGGGAAAAAAGGGCAAATTCACTAGGCCAAGGAAACACACTTAAAAAAAAAAAAGGTATTAAAATCAGGTTTAAATGGAGTGAAATCTTATTATGCTAAGGTGCATTGTGTTTAACATTTTTTGTGATATAATTTTAATTATCCAGACAATGCCGAGAGGCCTGGTCAGGATAAAGGCCTGGTGAAACCATCATTATCTAGCGAGGTGCACCTTCCAACAGTCCTTGCTCCTCCAGCAATAGTGCCCGAGTGACACAAAAGCACAGGGCGTGAGTCACACTCGCAATAGTGCTAAACAACGCTGTGTCACTGAGACTCTTATTTAAGTAAAAATGAAGGCGAATGGAGTCAAGATCCCCTTGGAGAACAAAACCAAGTATGATATGGTAAATAAGTGGATTAGTGTCTCCACATTGGAGTCACAGAACACAGTCATTAAATTCGTATAAGGAGCTGTTCTGCCCTGGAACAGGAAGGCGGCACCACCTCTCGGGTACACATCTGTTACTGACTGCCACTCTCAACAGAGACTCAACAGAAACCAGGTTCATTTTGAAGACAAAGAATATTAGTTTTATGAATCTTTTAGCATAGTGGCTGTCCCCCCCAAATGTAAGCATAAAACCTTTGCTGAGCCAACCTAAATATGTCCTTGAGCCCAGATTTAACTCATGATTATGAATGGGGAAGGGAGTAGGAGGTGAGTTTCTTGACAGCTTGTGGAAAATCAAGATGAGCCCCAGACACCAGAAACTGCTTAAAGTGCGCCTGGGTTAGCACAGGCGAGGGTAAGCAGAAACAGGAACAGCTACTCAAAAGCACCAGCCTTAGCAACCTCCCCTCCCACACACCTGCTCATAAAGACCAGGCCCAGCCCAGCCCACATAACCCGCTGCCCACAGGGAGTTTCACAAAGTAAACATTAGGATCCTGCAGCCCGCTATCAAATGTTCTACTTTAGCATGAGATGATTAATTAGGTGTCTATTCAAACAGCTCAGAGATAATCACTAAGTTTAAAATGCATGGGTACTACTGCTCAACTTAG